CCCCTCTATGTTTATATTTTGAAAATGTATTTGTACATTGGATTGAATGATGTTGAGCTCGGCATATCATCGACGCCAATACAGGTGTAATGTTTCGCCATCCTAAACCCTAATCGATGATTTGCACTTCTCGTTACGAAGAATCTGAAATTGGTTTGGGTTTATTGATAGGCATTGCTACTTTACTAAATGCTTCTACCAGTCGATCACTAACTTTTTACCAGAACGTAATCTTAGAGGTTTTACCGGTCAAACAAATATGACCAGATTCTGTTTGCTTATGTTGATTTATATCCAACAAATATGACCATATTCTGTTTGCTTATGTTGATTTATATATGTCTGATGGCTAGATAATGCTAATCCTTCTTTCAGAGAGGAAATGTGCACTTCGACTTCTGAAATTCAAATTTGGTATATATTGTGTTGAATGAATCCATCATTATCCTATTTGTTGTAGTTACAAGATTTTTCTTCAAGCTGCAGGGCCTGTCCCTCGGTGTGGTCTGTACTCCACACTGTTGGGCAGCGAAGCTTACATTTGTTCACTGATTATGGGGTAGTACCAAATTTGACTTTGAAAGTTAAAATGTATCCCTGCTTTGTTGGGTTTTGATGATTACTTGAGTTATCGAATCCTCTTTCGGATATAGGGCACTGAAACTCGTTTTTCATTTCAATTGCAACTATATTCGGATTCCACTCTTGGTTAATGAAATGTTACCTATAAATGAGATTGGTGTGTAAAGGGTCTAGACGCATGGCCAATCTTTGAACTTGGTTACTTCATTGTTCTTGTTTATGGGGCATTGCCAAGACAGACTTATACATGATGTGATGAATATTAGGATGATATTCAATGTTATCCATCCTTTATAGGAGGATCGTAGTTTGGGTTTCAAGCCCACCAGACAATAACGATGTTTAACTGAAGCTCTATATGCAATAGTTTAGACCAACCAATTCGCCTTTGTACCATCTGGCTTTTGTCTAGATCATGGATTTCATTTTAGTATAAAATCTCATTGAAAAACAAAGTTCATTAAACATCCAATAGTTTAATAATGCCACTATCTACGCTTGATGCATTACTGTCAATATATAGAAGAAAGGTAAAAGCGCATTTGATACTATTCATATGTTAAACTGTAAATTACATGTCAAAAACTTAAAACATCTCAATAATTCCAGGAAGCTCCTTAAGTTATATGATAGATATGGAATTAACTTAGTGGGACTAAACTTCAGATGTTCTCTGCGGATAGCAGTCCTCGCGGACAGACAGAATGGAATCTGAAATTAGACATGTAATTAATTTTTGATATGTATATAGTTTATTATTTTAGTTTAAATTTGACCATCCTACATAATACAAGTCATATAATATATGTTGATTGTGCAGTTGAGGATGACTTCACATAGATGTATAGGGTATTTGTATTTAATTTTGGAGTTTTATGTCTTGCCTCTAGGCCTAGTAAGTAATCTATTATCTTATATACCGTATTTTTTCCTCTAGAGATGTAATCGCTTGGTTTCATGATTTTTACATGTAATGAGAGAAAAAAGGAGAAGTAGCCATAGCCCTAAAATGCCTATTCTTTTCAACATATGAGTCTCCTCAGCTCTCTATTTCTTGTTTGTGATATGTATTATTCACATGCATCTGTTTCACATTTGGCTGTGAGTCTCTCACCTCCACATCTGTTGTTGGTCCTTGCTTGTCGTGCAATTTTCTTATAACTGCCAATCTAGATGCAAGCTTTAAAACATAGCATTAGGTGTGAGATATGAAGTTACTCCGTCTCTGTCTCTAGTGTTCTTTTAAGTGTAAAGTCAGTGTCTCTAGTGCTCTCTGCGGGTCTAGCTGTTAATCTGGTCTGAGTTTGAATTAAGTTGTTAAGAATTCAAGGTTTGATAAATTATAGATGTTTATTACAATCAACTGATTAAGTGTAGGCCTTTGCTTTGTGTTGTAAGTATATGTTCGTTATCCAACAAAATTTCCTTGTTCACCTTCCTGGGTTGTTCCTCTGCTGCTTAGGGTGTAGGCACCGGTTTTCGGCCAAAGGTGATGCCTTGAGTTCTTGTTGGTTATTTCTTACTCTCCTTGAACCTTCAACATTTTAGACAGTTAAGGTTTTGAAAGATGTGCGAGGTGTTTTCCCTTGGAACTGTGAGGCGTACACCTCAATAATAAAATAAAAATAATTCATAAAATAAAACTTACAGCAACACATAATTTCATATCAAACTATGAAAGTCATAAAAGTTTTAAAATTGCTAGCTATAAGTCTTAAAAACATAACCAAATTCATTAGATATGTTGTGTTTATAAGTCTAATCATGGTCAGTGAAGTGGTGCTTGTTTTGCTTTTAACGAGTCGAATGCTTTTGTAGATGTGGGCGTTGTTTCTTTTTGTAAATAAGGATCTGAATTAGTAAGTGGGGCTCTTAGCAAGGTAGCAGCATTAAGCCTTTTCTTCCAATTTCAAGGCTTATTTTTAAGTATTACATATTTCTTCTTCTCCTTTCTTTTATCGATGCTCCAATTATTTCTCTGTTTCCAGCTTAGGGTGGCAATTTTGTTGATTTATGGAGATGATATTTGTGTTCAATTTCTTTGCTTATATATTTCATTCTTTGCTAAAAGCTGGTGCAAGAATATTAACACACATACCCCTACTTGTGAGTGCTCAAAAACACCAAATTCATGGCTCGAAAGTTGCTAAATTTATCACACATACGCAATCAAATTCTTGTCGCATACCTCAATCCCAGCCGCAGAGGCATAGCCTCAGAAACGATTTTGGAGCTCCTTGCCTCAGGGCGTAAGCCTCGGCCATCTGTTAGTGTCAGAGGTAAGACAAAAACAGTTTGGGACTGCCGTGCCTCGGGGCATATGCCTCAATCATTTGTTAGTGTCAGAGGTAAGACTTCCCTGCAAGTAATTTTTTTCTCTGGACATGAAAAACACCACTTACACTAAAATATGAAGAAACTCACCCTAATATTCTTAGGAAGCATCCTCATTTGGCAAGGAAGCATGGGGGTGGATGCATGTATTGGGTGCCTGGAAATGGAACCAGCATTTAAGAAAACCAATTTTTGGGGTGCAGAATATATGTTATATACATGTTATGTATCGTGTGAATTACATATTAACTTAATAAAGGAAAAGCACAAAACTATTTGAAGTCATACCAAATGATGAAACATGAAAGTACTTGTAGTATCACAATTATGACAAAAGGAACACACATAAAAAGACTAGTGGCGACTTGATCAGCAGGTAATTAAAACTTGTAAGTAAAGAAAAAATAGTCTTCATCATGATTCATGATCAATTAAATTTAACTTCATTAATGATTTTCATGACCATCAGTCCATCACATTTAGTAATAGACATGGCTTTCAAAAGAAAGAAGAACAATAGGAATATAGGACGAGTATCAGATATTTCTATCATTTTACAGCATGAAGCTGTTTAAAGAGATTTAACACTCCAGGTAAACTTTCCTTTCTATTACAGGTAGATTGGTGACGCCGATTTAGGCCAAATCTTGAAGAAAACTCCTGTCTTTAGAATAAAATCCTATTGGAAAAGGATGAGTGAGTAAGGAAATAGCACCTTTACTCCAGCTGAGCCTTCCTATTTAGGGAGTGGGAGAAAAGTATGGATAGTGAAGCAATGTTATCCTGTATCTACAAGTGCACTAAAACCATATTTAAGATAAAACAGTTTTTTGTAATCTTGTTTGTTAAGTTGTAACCCCCCTCCAAATCCAACAATGTTGGTGACGTTTGTCCCTACACAAATTAGTAAAAGTACTTATCTTTACTATGGACCCAAAATACCCTTGCAAAATGTGGACCCAAGTGAATCAGTACTTTTGAAAGGAATACAATGTGCCAAAATAGGTAATATCTTAATAACAATTTTCCCAAAAGGAAACTGAGAGTAATGATTAGAATGTTGTTCATGGAAGTGGTTGACAAGTCCTTTTCTTCTGCTTTCCTTTTAAAACATATCTGTATGTCAGGAAGAATGTTATACCCAATGCAATGCAATGTTATGGGCTGCTTGAAGTGGTTAAGAATTCCCCTCAAGGAATTTTATCTCATTGGATTTCTTAAGAAAGGGAAAATATGTATTCAGATTTCTGGTATAGCCTGTAAAGAAATTTAGATCGAGGGAGGGAGGTAGGTAGGGAGAGAAGTGAAAATTATCATGTGAACCTGATAGTATAATTTTTAGCTTTGATTTTGTGAATATATATAGTAATGCTTGTGAGTTGAAATTCGGAATTTAAACTGACAGTTCCAACGAAGAAACCGGATATACAAAGAGGAGCAGCGTCAGATAAGAGCTGCTGCACAGAAGGCAAAAGGTGGAGACGGGGATGGAGTTCCTCATCACTAGCGTACGATTTTGTTTCTTTCTGCTTTATAATAATGACTCAAGTGTGCAATCTATTTGTTTCCCATGGGAATTCGGTGCGCCATTTTGTTGTTCCAAGTTGTTGAGTACCAGTTTGTTATCAGCAACATGATATCGTTGATTTGAACTTTTAAGCACATTATCTCATAATGTTAAATTGTACTTTTTGTCGATTATTTGGTTGGCCTCATATCGGTTTATTTTACTTGATCATTAAGTTCTCTCTCTCTCATCAAGTATTGTTGGTCTGTAGATTACTTGCTGTCTAATTATAATTATGGAGAGAATGGATATGTTGATTTTAAATAAGTTTTCTAAAATGAGTGCAATTTTATTTGTGTTGGTCATTTGGGATTGAAATGGCTCACAGTCTACATATTGACTATTCTTCATTTTGTTTTGTCAAATTGTACCAACACCACCACTGCACTGCCACTAATTACTAATATCAATCAACGTTTTCTTTTTTGTTGGTATATATATAACAAGAAGAATGCATGGTTACTATTCATGCCATCCTAACCCTAACCCTAACCCTACAATACCAAAAATAGATATTTCATATTAGTTATCAAAATTTAAATTTAAAAGCTATTTTAAAATTACCCTTTCCTTAAATTTTTAATAGATTTAAATCTGAAAATTCCTCAATTGTTGATCAAAAATCGAACAATTTATATGAGTTTGCAACCTTCAGATGGTTTGCAAATGATTACATGTCTATATAGAGGAGGTTTACTTTGCAAACTACGTTTTTGTAATTATGAGAGGTTGATTAATCATTTTTATTGTGGAGGGTGTTAATCATGAATATTATCATCTTCATTATTTTAATTTTAGAAAAATACACGAAACAATTTCATTAAAATTTCATTAAATATTATATGAAACAATTTCATAATCATATATGAAACAACTTCATAAAAAAAATTATATGAAACAATTTCACAAGATTAAACAATTTCATTAATAAATTTCATAAGATTAAACAACGAAATCGACAGATGATGATTGTTTGCACGGTTTGTACAAATTGGGTGGTTTGCATTTGATCGTTCATCTCTCTCTCTCTCTCTCTCTCTCTCTCTATATATATATATATATATATATATATATATACTTGGGATCACATGAACCTATGTGATTCAAATATGAACTATATGTTCATATGTAAACTCGTGTAATTCACATATGAACTTGTGTGATTCACATATAAACTAATTAACTAACTCACATATGAACCCTTTGATTTACATATGAACGAATTAATTGAATCACATATGACCATATATTTTATATGTGAATCACATAGGTTCACATATGATTCTATTTGCTGCTTATTTGTAAAAGTTATAAAACTACCCATTTATTTTTTGCATACTCATACGAGAATTTATTCAATGTTTCACAGTCAAAGTCGCAAATGTTGATCAAATAAAGATTATAATCACTTCTTTATTACTCAAATAAACATGAGCCACATAATCTATTAATTAAAAACTATCATAAATTAAAAAAATAAAAATAATTTTAAAAATTAAAGTAATTACCATTTTGAATTGGATAGATCTTTTAAAAACTCATCATATTTTTTAGATTTATTTGTTTTTTAATTATATTGAATCCATTAATTTTTTTTATCAAGTTTTATATTTTTTTTCCTAGACACATATTTGATAAAAAAAAAATCGTAGTTTTCAACAAATATCACATGTGATATTCATAATTAATTCAATTATAGATATTTTTATTAATCATATGTGATTATGTATATCACATTTATTGATATTTTTGTGATGTAAATATTATCGCATTTGATAATATGTCACTTATGTTCAAACGTATATTATCATATATGATATGTACAAAAATTCACATAGATACGTAAGATCATATGTTAAACAAAACTAATTACATATGATACGAAACATGGATCTGAAAAATAGAGAAACATGATAAAAAAAATTAAATTGATTGTGGATATCACATGTGATATTGTAAATTTTTTAAATCAAAAGTGTATCTAAAAATTTATAAAATTTGATTAAAAAAATTCATGAATTAATTAAATTTAAAAATTAAATAACTATTAAAAGATATAACGAAAATTTAAAGATTTATCCAATTTAAAAAATACTAATTATCCTAATTTGTTTAAAATTATTTTTTACTTTTTATTTATAATATTTTTTTTTTACTTTTACATGATTCTCTCTCTCTGTTATATATATATATATACAGGGCCGTCCCTAGGGGAGGGCGGGCCTGGCGTATGCCCAGGGCCCATAAAAATTAGGGGCCCAAATTTTTTTAATATATATAATAATAGTTCAAAAAAATTAGTAAATAGAATAGATATAAAAAAAATTAGTATCTAATATGACAAGGAAATATTTTGGTACTACATTAACTATTAAAGATCAAAACATGTATAAACTAAACATATTGAAGAAAAGAAATACATAAAGAGGTTAATATGTCGTTCATTATATAATATTATTTAATATTTTTCTAAGTTTTTTATCTAAAACCGACGTCTAAAACTACTTGCTTCGAAAACTTTGATATATTTTTCATAATTTATCTCTCATCGACTCTTTTGATTGTTCCATCCTCGCATGAATTCTATTTTTATATTATAATATGTTAGATTTTCTTGTTATTAGCTAACATAACCCTCATTTTTTGATAAAATTATCAACTATATGAGACGGTATAACTTATATTTATATTTAAAATAATAAAAATATAATATTTTTTTCATAGTTGTTCTTTATTTTCTAATATTGAGTGTATAAATCTTATGTACTCTTATATCTCTAAAAGAAGAATACAATCTCAAACTACCACCAACATGAGCTTTTTAATTTATATAATCGATGATTTCAGAAAAGTTTGTTTTAACCCTAACCCTATGTTTTTTAGTCTTCTTTTACATAGGAAAGAGAGGAAAGTAATAGATGAAGAAAAATATTCTGTTCTCGAAATTTTTTTTGGGAAAGGAAAAGAAAAGGAAAGAAAAAAAACTATATCAAATTTTATTATTTATTTCATTATTTTCCTTCCTCTCTCTTCTCTATTATAAACACAAATAAAAAACTTTTTTTTCGTCCTTTCTTTTATTTTTCTTTTCCTTTCTCATTTTTTTTCTTTCCTTCCCAAATTCGAAAATATAATATAAAAGTTTAAAATGATGTTAATCTTCCCAAATTCGAAAACATAATATAAAAATTTAATATGGTGTTAATCTTCTCAAATTCGAAAACATAATATAAAAGTTTAAAATTGTGTTAATCTTCCTAAATTCGAAAACATAATATAAAAGTTCAAAATGGTGTTAAAAAACATTAACATGACATGACATGGAAACCAACCTATTTACATAGTGTCACTCGGAAATCAGAAGAATCAACTTTCTGACCCCAAATGATGTCATTCTATGTACCAAAAGTGTATCATAGGATGTTTTTGATGATGGAACAAATTATCGATGCTACATAAAAATGTTCTAGTAGATAATATTAATTTAAAAATGAGTATTGATTGATTTTGCGTCCAAAAATACTCGAAAAAACGGTATTATATGACTTCAATGTTATTTCTGATGATAAAAACAATATATTGAAAAAATATCATACTTATCGAGGGCCCCTTTCTCACATCTCGCCCAGGGCCTAAAAAATGTCAGAAACGGGCCTATATATATATATATATAATTATTTAGTATTGCTTAGATTTTGAGCTTTTCATTTAAATGCTTACAACAACTGTAAATTGAATACAACAGAAGGTAAAACATCTTTTACTTTTTAAATGAAATTAACTTATATTCTCTTAACATTTAAGGGATATTTGAGATTGTTTATTTAAAATAACTTATGTTTTTTTTGTAAAAATGTTTATTAACTTATGTGGTATCAAACCAGAGTTTTCTAAAAAGTGTTTGGATTAGCTTATAACGGTACAAAAAAGTAATAAGCTGATAAGTTGTTTTTTAGTGTTTAGCAAATTTTGCTTATATATGTAAAATGACAAAAAAAAAAAAACAATCTTTCGTATTATTAACTCATGAGAGTGTTTGAGATTGCTTATTAACTTATTTGATTTTTTAACATGTAAAAATTTATTTTTTCATTTATAATAATATTTTTGACAAAAATTTATATCAATAAGATTAATAATTAACAAACATTAATAAAATATGGTTAAAATGGTAAACCGGTAATAAGCATTTTTTCATAAGTCAGAAAAGATTAACTTATCAAAAACTGCTTATTACCAGTTTGACACCGGTATAAGCAGTTTTATTTTTCCTCACCCAAACACTAGCATTTAACTTATCACCGCCGTCAGATTGAAATAAGTAAAAAACACCTAAAATAAACAATCTCAAACACCCCTCGTTAATGACTTTTTTTTTTTTTTTACTTATTCATTAAAATCCCTGCCCGTTAGGATGGATACACCTTTACATGCCTTTGTTGGAGATGATCTAACATTTTATTATTAAGTAAGACGAAGCATTGTATTGTACGAGAAGAGTAGTGTAATAAAAGATCTCCACCTTTGACCCATCGGTCAACGGGACCACCGTCAAGCCCCTTGGAATCCTGTTTTATGCCGATTTTAGGTGATAGGAGCAATATTTATGAGTGATTAGTCGGCACGCATGCATGCCTCATCATCGATCTGATTAATCAGCTACTACAGGTATAGAAAAAGGAGCAGTTGTTAGATGGTGGTTGACTTGTGAAGCTTTAAGTGACGATGCATAGCATGTTTTGTATTTCTTAATTATATATTAAACATGTTATAACTAGGTGGACGATTGCATGCGTATGTAAGAGTTTGTAAATGTTAATTAGTAGTTTGCATGTTCCTGCACAACTCCCTTGCTTCTCCATCTTTAAGGTTTTTCTCTTTTTCGGCATCATATCTGGAGCTGCTTCTCACTCCAATTTCTTTCGACAACGAGTTTTATGGTGTGGAAGCCACCCCAACTTCTGTTCCCAATCCTTGGGGAGGGGAGGTGCGGTTTGTTGTTTTGGGAACTTGTGTAAGGATGTTATGACTGATCCCAACCACTGTGGGGGTTGTGGACATGTTTGTGGATACCACCTCCTTTGTTGTGACGCCAACTGTGTCGACGTTAGAAACAATCGTCGGCATTGCGGGG